ATTAAATCAAAGTTTCTCTACATTGACATTTTGAGCTGGATCATTCAGGGGGGCGGGGCAAGAGGAAGGGAGAGGAGGTTATCCTGTGCATTGTAGGATATTTAGCAGCATCTTGGCCTCCATTCATTAGATGCCAGTAGCTGCTTCACAGTTTAACAATCTAGAATGCATTTAGACATTGCCAAATGTCCCCTAGAGGACAAAATTGCCTCTGATTGAGAACCACTGCATTATATCATTATTGAGTAACTGACCTTCATCATTCTTTCCAGGAACTTGAGAAATATCAGAAATTCATCACTCTATATCAATGGGTCTCAACCTTCTGGCCCTTTAAATACAGTTCCTCATGTTGTGACCCAACCATAAAATTATTTTCGTTGCTACTTCATAACTGTAATGTTGCTACTGTTATGAATCATAATGTAAATATCTGATATGCAGGATGGTCTTAGGCAACCCTGTGAAAAGGTCGTTCGACCGCCAAAGGGGTCGCGACCCACAGGTTGAGAACCGCTGCTCTAGATGGATGGATGGATGGATGGATGGATGGATGGATGGATGGATAAATGCATACATTCATACATACATACATACCTTCATAATTTGCTTACTTGAGATGAATTAGGACATCTCTACACTTGGTGTCAGTCCCTGAAGAAGAGATGCTTCCATGTAAATATTTCCCTGCTGCTCAAGTCACATGTTAGCATTCTTTTCTTCTCATTTTACAAGGAAAGAATTTCCTGATCTATTATTTCATTTGAGCCCAACAATACATTAAAAGGGAAATCCAATAGATATTTAGATGGAGAAACTGAGGGCCATGGAATGAAAATGATCAACTTCAGGGGTAAACTCCAAATTCAGTGCTGCTCCTCTTCCTGCTATGGAAAGCTTGCCTCTGTCTCCCACTCATTGTAACCCTCCCTCAGTGGGTAAACATTAGGGATGGAGTCGTAAGGATAACAATGCTCCTCTAAAGTGCCAACACCTAAAACGGCATTTAATCTAGTCAGTATCTAGAAAATGGATTACCCCTTCCCAGAGTACATTGTGCTTTAATCTAATTAAACTCACAATTTTCCATTAACATTAACTTCCTGTTTACAGGGCATGCAGGAGATAGAGGAAGGAGTTAGACACTAGTAAGGAAGAATCAATCAAATCCAGAAGTGGGGACAGTCTACTCTACAAGAAAACTGTGGTCTGAACTCTTCCAAAAAGTCAGCATCTTGAAAATAAACACTCAAAAAACAAAACCATTTAGGGAATATGTTAGATACTTGTGGTAAGTATTTTGGGATAAAGCAAATTTATCAACAACAAAACAACAAAGATAGATAGATAGATAGATAGATAGATAGATAGATAGATAGATAGATAGAATAGTAAAATACTAACTTTAAAAAATTTTAAAGTCTATTTTTATTAATTTTAGAGAGGAAGGGAGAGGGAGAGAAATAGAAACATCAATGATGAGAATCACCAATTGGCTGCCTCCTGCATGCCCCACACTGGGGATCAAGCCTGCAACCCAGGCATGTGCAATGACCAGGATTTGAACCCTGACCTCCTGGTTCATAGGTCGATGAGCAACCACTGAGCCATGCCAGTAGGGCAAAATATTTTAATGGACGATGTATAGAAGAACCCACAGGTCATTTAGGATGGGGAGTTCCATGGTTATGCTTCAAGAACCCCATAAATTCCCCACAGCTGTGAGCAACATCCTGTGCACAGTAGTAGCTCTGTTTTTTTCTGGAGAAATGTTGTATAGCTCTTGTCCAACTTTTCCTAAAGGGTCCCATGACTCCAGAAAGTCTGACGCCTTGGTTTGTCTGGAGATTTTAGGTCTCCTGGCAGCAGAGGTGTGAGAACTTTGGACTTCTAGATATTACCTTGCTGCTCAAATCATATGTTGGAGATGGCTGCCTGAAGTCATAGGATTTTAGAACTGAAAAGAGATTTAGGAGTGATCTAATTCAACCCTGAAGACAAACGCTCTGAAAGAGGCCTGCCCATTTACTTACTGGTAGAGGCAGAGGCAAAGTCTAGGTCTGATTCCCAGATTATCACTCTGTTTATTGAAAAAGGTCAGGCAATTTACTTAGTGATAGAGGCAGAGGCAAAGTCTGGATCTGATTCCCAGGTTACCACTCTGCTTATTCAAAGAACCAGCCTTGTCTGTCAGTCACTTGACATCTTCCAGTTTCTATGTTGACTCAACAAGCCAACAAACATCCTTGTGCAAGTCCACAGCCCACCTGCCCTGCTTCCCCTCCTCTTTTCTTCTCTGATATCCCCTCTAACAGCCTACCTGGTTTACTCCTCACCTGCCACATGGTCTCTCGGGGTTCTACTGACACAAGCAGCACACACAACATTGGGGCCTTTGCTCTGCTGGTCCTTCCTGCAGTGCTCTTTCTCCAAGTACTTGCTTCGCTAACTGCCTCACCTTCTTCGCGTCTGCTCAGGTCTTTCCATGTGACTGACCACCTGTTTAATACTGCAGCTCCCTCCACCACCACCCCTAACAATACTCGGTCTTACTGCTTATTTTTTCTTATCAATTGTCACCTTCCAACAACCTATACAATTTTCTGTTTATTCTACTTTTGTTTATTGTTAAAGTTCCCCATTAGAATATAAGCTCCACAAAGGCAGAGGTCTTTGTTTTATTTGCTGATATATTTCAAGTGCCCAGAGCAGTGCCTGGCACAGAGAAGGTACTCAATCCTGGAAATTTTGCTCTCCGCAAATCAGGACTTAATTTCAATTTGTCTTAATAAAGAAGACCACAAAGAGGGATAAAAGATATGTACGAAAGGTGGGGTGGAGAATTATACTGGGTGTTTTCATTATTTAAAAGGTTGGATTTGCCCTAGCGGCCGGTTTGGCTCAGTGGATAGACCGTCGGCCTGAGGACTAAAGGGTCCCGGGTTCGATTCTGGTCAAGGGCACATGCCCAAGTTGCTGCGGGCTTGATTCCCAGGAGAGGGTGTGCAGGAGGCAGCCAATCAATGATTTCCTCTGATCATTGATGTTTCTATCTTTCTTTCTCTCTCTCCCTTCCTCTCTGAAATAAATAAAAATATACAATTTTGAAAAATAAATAAATAAAATAGAAGGTTGTGTTTTAGTTTGATGAAATATTTGAATGGGTACAGGACTGGTAGCTCAGCCCTATTTTGCACAATGTCAGCTAGCTCTGCTCTGTACACAAAACAGATTAGCAGTATCTCTTCCAGCCTGAGGGCTTTATATGTTGCAATTCTCTTGCAATAAGTTCCTAAATATTGAATATGTGAATGACTTCCTAATAAGGTGTTGATTTACTACATCACAGGCATAATTAAGAGGCACCAGTTCAGGTCTTTCAGGATTAAGTTTAAAGCTCAAAAGCTTAGCTTCTAGAGCCAAGCAAATCAGCAAACAGCATGTGCATGAGGCAAAGAAACATTTACACACAAGCTCAGACTTGCAGCTGTGTTTTCCTAAGACCCCCTCCCCCACCTGTGCGTTGGGCCCACTGGGTTTCATCTTGTTCTGAGTGTGTGATTGTAGGTAAGACGAACCCAGAATGCTGAGCGCACAGTGGGGTTCTGTGATGGGTTCCATAAACAGCCACTCTTCAGTTTGTTTGTTTGTCTTTTTTTTTCCTCTTTTCATTGAATTTATTGGGGTGACACGGGTTAACAAAATTATACAGGTTTCATGTGCACAACTCCACAACACATCATCTATACACGGTACTGTGTATTCACCACCCCAAGTCAAGCCTCTGTCCTCCACCATTTATCCCCCTCATACCCTCCTCCGCCTTCTTTCCCCCAGCTTCTTACTCTGCAGTTTCTAAGCTTTGGAAGGAGACCCTGATCTAGTATTTATGAGATCCACTCGCATCTCCAAGTGTGGATGTGGGTATTTGTTGCTAAATTTGACCAGAACCAAGGCTAAACTCTGAGTGTTTTGCTAGCAACATTTCATTGTAAACATGTGTGTATCATCTTACCGTGACCTCAAGTTGTAGATGAACAAATGGACTGACTGGGAAGGGATTTTGAAAAACTAGGACAAAATGTGGCCAGGTTTTCTTTCTCCATCCTCAGCATGTTGCACACCTGGGCCTTTCAGAAAGTTTTCTCAAATCACAAAATTCTTCTCTTCTCTGAGGAACAATCTCATTCCTTTTTTAGTGCAAGGTTATCTGAACCATTACTGGTCTCCATTCATAGTGACAAACCATCACCACTGCTCACATATTTCTGGTTAGCCAGACATAAGGAAAAGAGGTTCAATGAGAGTTTCCTTAAAAAAAGTCTTCCTTTTTGTGGTATTGCCATCATTCATATCATTCATTAAAGAACTATTTACCAAATGACTACTGTGTGTTTTAGAATAAGCCAAGCACTGGAGAAACAACAGGACAAAAACACTGCTCCCATCCAATAGTTTATAGACTAGTCTAGCTGGCCGGTGTGGCTCAGTGGTTGAGCATTGTCCCATGAACCATGAGGTCGCCAGTTGGATTCCCAATCAGGGCACATGCCCAGGTTGCAGGCTCGTTCTCCAATATGGGGTGTACAGGAGGCAGCCAGTCAATGTATATCTCGCATTGATGTTTCTATCTCTCCCTCTCCCTTCCTCTCTCTCTAAAATCAATAAAAACATATTTTTAAAAATAATAATAACAATTAAAGAATAGCAAATTGCTGTGGCTGGCTAGCTCAGTTGGTTAGAACATCATTCCAATATGCCAAGGTTTCAGGTTCAATCCCGGTCAGGGCACATAAAAGAAGTAACTAATGAATGCATAACTAATGCAACAAGTTGATGTCTCTCTCTCTCTCTCTCTCTCTCTCTCTCTCTCTCTCTATCTCTCTCTCTCTTTTTCTCTCTCTCCCTCCCTCCCCTTCCATTCTCTCTAAAAATCAATGGAAAATATATCCTCGGGTGAGGATTAACAACAACAAAAATGCTCAATAATTTTTTTTTTATTTTTGTCAAACACAGAGCCTTTATTTTACATGCCATTTCCAAAGAGGACAGTTTGTAAGTAAGCAGCCAACAATTTCTAAGAGAGAAAGTGACAGCAAAGGCAACTGGCTCAAGTCCCTCTGTGTACGCCATGTACATTTCATGTCTGAGTACCTTGTGTGTCTGGCTTAAGTGAAGGTAAGGCAGTGTAGATTGTACAAACAAGAAATCTGTGTTCTGTGACCAAGAATGGCTACTACATGCATCACTACATGCATACAACCTGAAATGTTGATGTGCAACCGAAGTTTCCTCAAGCCAAGATGCACATGAACAATGACCAACACAGAGCAACTTGGGCAGAGAGAATGGATAAGGTCGTGGGGCAGCGAAGTTAGCACACTGATCAAGAACCCCAAGCAGGAGGAGCCGTCCCAGTGCCAGAGCAGGCTAGGAGGGTGAGCAGCAGCCATCTCCAGCTACAGTTCCTTCCTGCCTTCACTCTAAGTTGAGCAGCTCCATGTCAAAGATGAGGGTGGCATTGGGAGGGATGACACCGGGGTGGCCTGTGGCTCCATAGGCCACATCAGGGGTGCAGGTCAGCTTCACCCTCTGCCCCCAGCTCATCTGGGCTGCACTCTCTTCAAAACCCTTGGTGACTTCCTGATTGCCAATTCTGAACTTGAATGGTTTGTTTCTGTCTCTGGAATCAAATTTCTTTCTATTTTGGAGCATTCCTGTGTAGTGCACTGCACACATCTGGTTCTTCTTGGGGAATGTCCCTCCATCTCCCAGGGAGATGGTCTCGATCTCCTTGCCCATTGCAGTCCCACTGGCCCCACCTCCAAGGGACCCACTGCTGCCCTGACCCTGGCTTGGCTCACTCTGTCTCCAGATCCCTCTGGCGCTCTGACTCGCCTCTCCGCCACCACTCTCAATAAATATTTGCCGACATGAATAATACCAGTGATTCTGTGTGAGCTGAAAGAAGCCTACTTAATATCAAAGTCTCCTCTAATCATTAAGTCTGAGAATCAATTAAAGTTTTTAAAATGACTATCAATCACGATATGGTAGAATTAATTTTTAATTCCTAAGTTTAATTCTAAATATTGTCACAACCTGAGGAAAATGGATTAGGCACAGATGCCAAGCTAAAAAAAAAAAAAAATCTCTATATATAAAAGCCTAAGTGACTGGCTGACCAGCCGACCGGCCGACCAGCCGACTGTACGGTAGCTATGATGCGCACTGACCATCAGGAGGCAGACACTCAACACAGGAGCAGAAACCACAGGCATGGAAACATAGAACAGACTGATGAATCTCAGAGGGAAGGGGGAGGGGGATGGGGGAAAGTGGGAAGAGATTAACCAAAGATCTTATATGCATACTAGAGGCCCAGTGCATGGATTCGTGCACCGGTGAGGTCCCTCAGCCTGGCCTGCACCCTCTCGCACCCCAGGACCCCTCAGGAAATGTTGGACTGCCGGTTTCAGCCTGATCCCCACAAACCAGGTGAGGGACCCCACAGATTTGTGCACTGGACCTTTAGTAAATAAATAAAAAAGGAGGAGGGGGTACCCGCTCTGTAATGCTATCCGGCTATGTTGTGTAAGTGGTATTGTATTTGAAACAAATGTATCCCCAGGTGTCTATTTCTATCTAGGTTGATTGAATGCACTCAACATGTTCATTGTTCAGCCTCAGTTTTGTCATCCTATTTATTTTTTGTGAAACGCTATTTCAAAATGTAGCTCTTTTTTCAGAAGAGTGTCTGCCCATTCGCCTACGGCCGTCCTGAATGGAAGGCGCTTGGCGTGCACCTGCACAAGGCCGGTTCCAGGCACACACCTGGCACATAATGCTCTGCCCTCTCAGGTGCACCCTCTGGGTAAACACAAGCTCTTCTGAGCTGCTGCCACCACCAAGGGTTCCAGTTTCACTGTCGCTGTATCTCTGATGCCAGTGCTAAGGACAGTGAACTTTAAAAACAACCTCCCCTTTCTTCTCTAATCTGGTAGGAAAACAAAGCCCAGTCAGGAACCAATTAAGTGAAAGAGCGTGTGGCAAAATCAAATAAACAATGAACTTAACTTTCTCTGACACGGGTCCCCAGAATCTCCTGACAGGTGCCAGGATCTACGGGACAGGCTGTTTTGGAGAGCCTGGCTGAGAGGGCGATTGCAGAGATCGAGGTACAGCGTTTAAGCAGGTGCAAAGAAAAAAAAAATAAGGGCACGGCGTCCTCTACTTATATTACTACCTTCCTCCTATCACCTACTCTTGAACCTTAAAATGCTTAAGAGCCAGGCCTTCAGAATCATTCTCCCTTTAGGGCACTCCCAGGCAAAACTGGAAAATATCTAACTTGGGAATTTTGAGATCTCAAGTGCAAAAGCTTCGTTTTACTGATGGGAAAACAGGCCCAGAGAAGGAAGGAGACTTTGCCAGCTGGTAGCAGAGCTGGCAATAGAACCCAAGGTCCTCTTAACACCCCCATACCTCCCCAAAATGCGAAAATGCGGTCTAAAGTAGCTCCTTTCCTAGTTTTGCTGCTGCTATCAAGAGCCCGTTTCTTCCCATTCAGTGGGACTGGGGATCTGAGAGCCATTAGCTATTACTTTTTTACCCCACACTTCCAGTTAATGAATCCTATGGAATCTTACTTTAAAATATCTTACTTTAGTCCAGTTGCCATCACCTTGGGCAGCACTGCTTCAGTCCAGCCTCCCGTGGCCTCCCTGCCTCTGACCTCTCTCCGGGTCCATCTAGCAGACAGCTAACATACTGACCAGAGCTAACAATTGCCACTCGTCTACATTCACTATCTCTCATTTGCTCCTCAAAAAAACCCTGAAAGCTGGGTGCTTTTATTACCCCCATTTTATAGACGAGGAAACTGAGGCACAGGGCAGATAAATAATATGTCTCAAGTGGTGGCAGAACTGGAATTTTTAAACACCAGGTAGTTTGGTGCCAAAGTCCAAACTCCAAACTATGATACCGTATTGCTTTTTTCTGAAGCACCAAGATAGCCACGTCACTCCTGTGCTTCAGTGGCTCTCCTCTGCCTGTGGCAGTTCAAAGTCCTAGTTGGACACTCACTGAACGGTTGGGCTCTCCCGAGCCTTCAGGTAAGTTAATTAACCTTTCAGTGTCTCAATTTCCTGATCTGTTAGCTGAGGATGATCAGAATAGTAACCACCCCATGGGGCTGCCCTGAGGATTAAATGAGGTCGCCCAGGTAAAGCACTTAGTTCAGTTCCCAGCGCAAAGTGACTGATTGATGTTAGCTACCTTTGGACCCTATTTTTCTCAACTTCCTTATAGAACTCCTCTGACGAGGATGTTGCTGCAAACAGTGCTTGTTGTCAAACTGCCGGTGCAGTTTTCCCCTTCCTAGAAATTTTCCCCACTCCTACTGGCATATGAATGCCAACATAGCCAAATCTTCCCATCCTCCAGTCTCCCTTCTGCAGTGGCCCATCCCCCACAGGAATCCAAATTCCTGGAACACTCATTCGCACCATACTTTTCTTTTCACACTACCTCATTTGTTTACTCATTTGCTCATCGCTTATTCAAGTGCCTCTTCAAACAGTAACAATAATTGTATTTGACGTCATACTGTACAGAAGGCTTCATGTCACAACCGTGCCTCTGTCAATCTTTACAAGAGCCTTGGACATTCCCACTTTAGAGTGGCTTTAGTTTCCTCAGCTGTTCATCCCAGGGACCGAGGGGTGCAGGGTGGTGATGCATACGTGATCCCCATCTTCAGAAAGCTGGCAGCTTTGTATGCAAAGCAAGGTCTTCCCACACATGGTGACAATCAGGGCAGACAGTGGCAAAGTCTGGTGGAGGAGACGAGAGATGGTGCCATCATTTTTCAGGCACAAGCATGGCTCTGGCTGGGCATTTCTGCACTTCACCAAGCAGAGCCTGCAGCAGATGCAAACACACCCGCCCTGAAGGGAGACTTTGGCAAACAAAAGCTGCTTGCTCTCCAGAAAATCCTTGATGTCACGGGAGGCTGAAAGAACAGCTCTGGGAGAAACACGGACTGGACTTTGCCGCCTCTCCAGGTGGCCGGCTCTGCCCTGGCTGACCTCTCTCAGCGTCGGGCTGCAGGCCGCGTGGCACAATCTCCTGATCTCAATTCCCTTTCCTGAGGGAGAGGGCTGACTTTGATAAATTTGATAAAATTTTGATAAATATAAATTATCTGGAAGATTCTGCTTTACAAGGCTGATTTTGCTTTAACATGTCTACTGACTTTCTTTTATCGAGCCGGTGAGGCAGGCTGGGGCAACAGAAGCAGTGGCGCAGGAAGGCAAAGTGGCACCCTGTCTCGGAGGAGGACTTGGGAGGCGCCCTTCTACAAGGAGGCATGGGGAGCCCCCTAATCATTTCGGCAGCACTGAATGAGTCTCCTGTCAAGGTAGGTCACTCTGTCAAAGAGGTGGATGTCAGCTCTTCAGGGAGGTCTTGATTTCTTCCCTTCATTGTATTTTTACAACTGTAATTCAATATACAATAGAAATCAGTTTCCTGGTTAGTGGCACTATCTAGCAATTTTACATAGACATTTATACCCTCTGACTCAGAAATTTCCCTTCTAAGAATCCATCTTAAAGACATATGGTCAAAAAATACAAGAATTAAGTAATACACACAAGGCTCTTCATTGCAGCATTATTGGAAGTAGCAAAAGACTGGAAATCAGCAATGGCTATAATAGGGACTGATAGATAAAGAGGGTGCCAATACACGACAGAGTACTATGCAGCTGGGAAAAGAAAGGAATATTTCTATATTGCATGGAGTGACCATCAAGATATATCATTATGTGTGAAGTGCCAGATAAAAAAAATATTATTATCATATGCTATCATTGGAGAGATATGAATATATTATATACCAGAGGCCCGGTGCACATAAATTTGTGCACTCGGGGGAGGGGGGGTCCCTCAGCCCGGCCTGCGCCCATTCACAGTCCAGGACCCCTTGGGGGATGTCCATCTGTCAACTTAGGCCCACTCCCCGGGGGATCAGGCCTAAGCTTGCAGTCAGACATCCTTCTGGTAGTCAGGGAGCCCTCGGGGGATGTCCGACTAAAGGCTTAGGCCCCCAAGGGATCGGGTCTAAACCGTTAGTTGGACATTCTTAGTGCTGCCATGGAGGTGGGAGAGGCTCCTGCCACCACCACTGCGCTGGCCAGCCATGAGCCAGCTTCTGGCTGAGTGGCACTCCCCATATGGAAGTGCACTGACCACCAGGGGGCAGCTCCTGCATTGAGTGTCTGCCCCCTGGTGGCCAGTGCGCATAATAGCAACCGGTCATTCTGCTGTTCAGTCAATGTGCATATTAGCCTTTTATTATTATATAGGATGTCCCTATTTCCCCCCTTTTGCCCCCTCTACCCAGCTCTTGCCCCCCACTTCTCTCTGGCCATCACCACACTGTTGTCTGTGTCCATGGGTTGTGCATATATATTCTTTGGCTAATTCCTTCTATAAATTCACTTCTTTAAATTTTTATTTTCAGATAAGTGCTAATAACTGCACTATTATATATTTTGTATTATATCATTTAGAATTAAGATATTTTTTAATTGAACCCTTGTAAATTTTAGCACAATTTAATAAATTATGCTAGAAGCAATTAGGAGATTTTTCATGTAATGCATACACATTTCAATTAATAGTTTATTAATTTTTAATTTTTAATATTTTAATTTGAAATAATCTCATACATGTAAAAAAAACTATAAAATACTACAGCATATTATATGTACCCTTCACCCAATTTCTTAGGTGTTAATAATTTAAACATAACCGATTATACAACTAACAAAATTTGAAATATCCCCTAAAAATTAAAAATACCAAGGGCATGAAATCACAGTTATGCC